AAAAAAAAAAAAAAAATGGGGTTTTGACCAATCAGAACATGTGCAGGGTCCTATCTATATTATAAATACTAATATAGACAAGTGCAAAAAATTGTGGGAAAAGACCATTTTCCACAAAACATGATCTAGCTTGCCCCTAACCCCTCTATCCCCCTTCCTGTGTAGTCACTGATGTTAATAAGTATTTTTACCTAAAAATGGAGCATCATAGCTCTTTGCCAAGGCTTCACCTCCTGCTTTTGAAAATGCATGCATTTGTACATTCCTAAAAAAAGAAAGTGGAATATTATTACATATTATGAAGATGAAGAAGTGAACTTTCCGAGATCCAAAGGCTTATTAACAATAATTATTGACAGCAATAAATTAGAAAGCTTATAATAAATACTTTATGCATACCTGAGGAGTAGTGATAAGAATTGCTCCATCTGGATTATAATGTCACAGGATTTCTACTACTGTAATGTGCTCATCAGATGTCCCTGGATTGAACAAAACCAATCTAAGAACAGGGCAATAATGTTAGGATTACACTGCATACTGCAAAATGAGATGTGCACAATTGCTCTATCAGCAAAGTTAACAATAAAGAGTATATCTACTCTGATCAAGGGAGGTCAACTACAGTCTCCTAGTATGGAGTATTGTTCCCTCCCCCTTAATCTCCTTAATATAATATCCCCGTCTTTTTGCAGTTCAGGTTGCCCAACAACTTGTTGGTACTCATTTCTCCTCCTATGTGATGGGAGCCATTGCAAGTCAAGTCTCTCATCAATCACCTAAGAACACAGTACAAAGACCCATAGAATCCAGGCCTAATTGATCTAGAGTGTATGACATTAACCACTGGGCCACTGTACCTCACACATCAGCACATCACAAGCCTCTGAAAATTACATTCTATATTGTTATCATACCTGGAGGTGTATCCATAATCTGGCAACCCAGGTCACCCCAACACACATCTGATAGAAACTGCTTGATCATTGCTGAAAAAAAAAAACCTACCGGTAACTGTCACGTTAGAACTCAAGGAAGTCTGCCGGAACATCAGTTTGAAAGTGTTTGTAGCACT